CTCACTCACTCACTCACTCTCACTTCATTCAAGCAATCAACAAACATTTTATTGAGCACCAACTGCTGTGCCAGAATGTAAAGATACAAACAATATCCTCTCTGCTGTCAGGGAATTCACAGTCTAACATGGGAGGTGGGTATATCAACTAATAATTACAATATAGCTATGAGACGTGCAGGAAGCACTGTGTGCCCTGGGAGGACCAAGGAGGGCGGTGGTATCAGATTGGTGGGTGGAGAAGATTTCCTAGAAGAGGTGCTAGCTGGTTTGAGTATTGAAGGAAGATTGGAAGGAGGGGTGGGGGCCACACAAAAGAGCCTTCTAAGCAGAGAGAACAGCGTGACACAGTCCAGGGACTTAAAACTGCACACATTGCCCAGGTGACTGAAAGCTGTTAAGTGTGGTTGGATCACAGGGTCCCCAGTGGTGTCATGTGAGTGGGGTCAGGTCACAAAGGTCCTTGTTTACTGAGCTGAGGTCAAGTTTCAGTTAGACAAAGCTGTGAAGATAATGCTGGTATTATTAGTTAGAGTAATCATTGTGATAATCATGATAGTTACATTCAGGAGCCCAGTGCTATCCTTTGATCCTCACAGCAACTCTATGAGGCAGGCACTGATGCTATATCTGTTTGTACAGATGTAGAATTTGAGAGGATGAGTAACTCACAGCCATGCAGCTGAGCTTCCAATACAACAGTATTCCCAACCCCATTCGATTTAAAGTACCCTTTCATGATAGATATTTTTTAACTCTCTTTAATGTGAAATGAAATTTAAATAAAATATAATCCATTTAGCATGTACTTAAAATATATGTATAATATCTATCTTTATTATAAAGAAAATGCAAAAGAAAAATAATTTAGAATAAAGTAATGTATATTTAGATATGGAAATGTTCAGACCTCACTATTCTAAAAGCAACATAATCAATGTGTGTACTCATTATGTAAAACCACCTTGCATGCAGCAGCTCCAGTTGCAGACGGATGCCATTCTCTCAGTGTGCTGAGAGAATGAAGGAAATACCACCAGCAGTGATGCTAATACTGAACTGATTTTCTCAATGGTGATCCATCCTCGGTAAAATTCTGAATAAGAAGGTGCAATGTTGTCTATTTTTTTTTTTTTTTTTGAGATGGAGTTTCACTCTTGTTGCCCAGGTTGGAGCGCAATAGCACAATCTCGACACACTGCAACCTCCGCCTCCCAGGTTCAAGCAATTCTCCTGCTTCAGTCTCCCAAGTAGCTGGAATGACAGGTGTGTGCCACCATGCAATAAAACTTTTGTATTTTTAATAGAGACGGAGTTTCTCCTTGTTGGTCAGGCTGATCTCAAACTCCCGACCTCAGGTAATCTGTCCACCTCGGCCTCCCAAAGTGCTGGGATTATAGGCATGAACCACCGTGCTCAGCCTCAATATTCCCTTAAATGCTGGTGGCAAAACTGAGATTTGAACCCTGATCAGCTAATTCCAGAGTTTAAGCAAATAATTCCTACCTGGGGATGACTGCTCCCTCATGGGAGAGACCTCATATCTCAAAGGTATCAGGGATAGGCTGGCAGGGGCCTGTAGAGAGTCCTAGGAGATCAAGGTGTGGTTTTACTGTGTCCCAGGGCTCCCCATAGAACATCAGAATGACAGTCAGTCTGCTTTCCTTGCCTTACATTGTTTTCCCAGTGGGTGGGATCTCTTCAGTTCTGGGCTTTTGACTGAATACTTTTTCCAGTCCTTCCTTGAAGACTTCCACATTTTATGACCATGATCTTCCAGGGCTCTAACATTATGTAGAAGTTCCACATGTGGACTATAGACTGAATAAGACTCAGAGAACAACAGACTATTTAGTGATTCTCCATGTATTTTTTTGAACCTCTATTTTTTTGTGTTTTTTTTTTGCTGACCTATGGTTGCTAACAAACCACTCCAAAACTTAGTGTACAAAAACAATAATAAATTTCTCAAGGTCATATGGATTAAATGGGAGGTTCTTTTTCTCATGGTGCTGGGTGAAGCACTTAGACACTGGTTGTTCAACCAAGGGCCTTGTTTCTCTTTTATGTGAGCTCCTCCACATAGCTGTTTGGGCTTCCTCACGGCATGTCTGCTAGATGAGATGCCTAAAAGAAACTCTGCAAGTGGCCAAGGCAGAGGCAGAAGTTACAGGTCTTTTAAGGCACAGCCTCAGGAGTTGCACAATGTCATTTCTGTAGTATTCTAGTGATCAAAACAAATCATGGAACCACCCCAGATTCAAGGGGAGGCAAAATAGACTCCATCCTTCGGTGATGAGTTTAACCTGCAGGGATCCGAGCTCTGAAAGGCAATCTGTAGCACTCGTAAGGAAAGGCAAAGGAAGTGAGGCGAACATAACTTGCTTTATACCCTTGGAGCTGGAGTTCAGGCCAGGTGCCAGGCGCCTTCTCCCACCTCAGGCTCTGAAGAGGAATATTGATTTCTGCAGCTGAGAGTATAATGTTGGCACTTGCTCTCAGGCTTCTCATTTTGCAATGCTCATACCCCCAGGGAGGAGAGAAACCATGGCTCTGGAGATCAATGGGCTGTGAACAGGATGGAGGAGAGGAGACCAGAGTTTCTTTACTCAGCCTATGTTGTCCCAAGGTGGCCACAGAAACAAGGGCCATGCATCTAGAATTCTCCATTAGTGGCCTTGTGAGAATTTTGCTTTTACCCTTTTTATTGGAGAAAATTTCAAATTTATCTATAAGTAAACTAGTAAAAGGTGAATCTTAGCATCAGCTCCAACAATTATCAGCTCATGACCAGTCTTATTTCATCTGTTTTCCCAACCTCTCTCCCCTGCATTACTATGAAGCAAATCCTAGACAGCATATAACTTCATAGGTAAATATTTTAGTTTTATTTTCTAAAAGATAGGAGCTCTTTAAAAAAAGCAGTCATGGATTATCACATTTAAAAACATTAATGATTACAAACAGATTTGAAATTATAATGTTCATATATTATGATATGGTTATTTGATATCATCAAAAAATTAATAGATGTTTGTTCACTTTTCCCTAACTGTCTTATAAACAGTTGTTGTTATTTAATTTTGTTTGTTCATTTGAATCAGGGTCCACACAAGGCCCATACATTGTAATTGATTATTGCATCTCTTAGGTCCCTTGTAATCTACAGGTTCTGTCTCATTTCTCCCGTTAAATAATTTTCCTCACCAGTATCTTACAGAAGAAACTGGGTGGGTTGTCCTGTAGAGTTTCCCACATCTTGGTCTTGCTGACGACATCTTTGTGGTGACATTTAATAGATTTCTGGTACCCTGTGTTTTCTGTCAATCAGTGGTTGGATGTTGAATTTTGATTAAATTCACAATCAATTTCTTCTGGCAAGACTACTTCATCAGGGTGCTGCTCTCTTTATCTAGCAGAAGGCACACTGTGTTTGATTGTCTGTCTCTGAAATGTGAGCAGTCATTGGTCATTGCTTAGATGCATTAATTCATTAGGAACTGCAAAATGGTGATAGACTAATTCTATGTGCTGCCTTTTTTTGTTAATTAGCCAGAATAGTTCCATACATCATCAGCGACTTCCCTCATCAATGATTTGGTTATGCTAGGGCATAATTCTCATAGAAAAACATGATTCATATTTAATTCTGTACTCTTTACATTTTTTTGTGCCAGTTTTCTAAATAATGTGCTGGTTCTGCAGCAACTTCTAAGGGTAACTATGAATGTTTTTCAATATAATGGATTTAAACATACTGGATATCATTTGTAAGTTGTCCATTCTCAAATTATCTCATTTTTGGCCAATAGGAGTCTGTTCATATTGGCTTCTGAGTTCATTTGACAGAATCTCAGTAATGTTTGATAGCTTCCTTGCTTTCAGATATGACAAATTCTCCAGGGTCACTTTGCACATTACTTGCCCCAGACATGTAATGAGTCACTTTGCCAAGGAGCCTGGACTTCTCTTAGTGAGAAGTGGTATTTAGAGATAGCAATCTAGGCACGAGGAGTGCTTAGTGCTTCTGGATTGCTGTTGCTAGGCCTTTCCTGTCCTGATGTGCACCATAAAGGTCGTTGTTGTTGAAATTCAGAATTACAGGATTTTTACCTACCATCATCTATCTTCTATATGTATTTCCTTTTTCCCATGTTGAAATTCCTGGTTTTCAAATACACCCTCAAAATTGTTCATTTGATTTATCTCACACTACACCCATAACCATCTCAAGCTAACAATACGAACACTACCACCATTAGTATAATTATTATAAATAATTTGTTTTTTCCTGTTCTTTTTTTTGTCTTAGGCTGTATCTTAGTAGGAATGTGCAGCCACATAACAGTGCTTTAAAGCAGAGCTGAAGCACTTTAAAGTACTCTGAGAAGTTCTTCACTGTGTGGTTATACCAATCACTGGTTACAAATTTCTGATTCATTTTACTTTGGATATTTAGGGAGTACTTTTAAAAACAAGATATGTTAAAAGGAGTCTCTGCCATCTCCACTCAATTTCCTCACTCCCACTATAAGTAACCACTTAACATTTTTACAGTTTTTCTATTGCATAGATATAGATATACAATGTTTCAAGTGGTTATATGAGTTGTACTTACCACCTCAGTTTTCTTGGCTAAACTGTAGTATATTATACAAATCATTTACCATTTTGCTTTTACTTTTTAAACCAATAATCTACCCTGGATCACACACACAAAAAACTGGATTTGAATCCCACCCATGCCATTTACTAGCTATGGATCTTGGGCATGTATCTTAAATGCTCTGAGTTTAAGCTCTGAGTTTATCTGTAACATCAGAGCAGTAAGATCTACCACCTAAGATTGTTGAAAAGTTTATGTGTACAAGTGTGAACACAGTGGGTAACATACAATAGGTCTTCAATATGTAGTAGCTCTAATGGTTTTATAGATATTATAAGACTTAATAATTTTTATACACTTCTCTTTTGATAAGAGCCTTGTTCTTCTCCATTAGTGTTCCACAGTGAAGCTGAAGAGGGGCGAGTGGGAAATTGAGCATCATTGAATGAGGACTCAAAGAATTAGAATGTTAATACAGGCCAGAGCCCTTGGAGACCAGAGCAACTGTCTTGGTCATTCTACAGGAAGAGAAATACACACCCAGAGGAACAAAGCAATTTGCCTGAGGTCACAAACCAGGGTGAGGGAAGTCTGCTATTGATGCCTTGTTCAATTATTTTTCAAGGTAACTTTTCTCTAAAACAAAGTTCTTCTTCTGCTATTCATAGAAGTTTCTCTGTTCATTCCTGCATTCTCTCTGTAAAAGGAGAAACTGGGTTAGAGACGGGTCAAAGAAACTATGCCTTGAAGAAGTGTTTATTCCATCTCTTGGTATGTAAACACAGCACCAGTGACAGAGGCTGATCCCTATCAGTGAGTAAGGGCTCATTAACACAGTCAGTGGGGGATCCTGGAACAGTGCCTTGCCCTCAGGAGGCTTTACAACTATTAAGACAACATCAAGCTTATTTGAAAACCAAACATGGCCCCAAAAATATGTGGCAGTTTTAAAAATAATCATGCGTTTTAATGACATTGGCTTATTTTCATTACAACACTCCTAAGAGATGGCCACTATCCTTGCATCTGTTTTACATATTAGAAAACTAAGGTTTATGTAGATTTTTTGGTGACTCTTCCAAAGTTATACAGCTGATGAGCAGAAAAGCTGGGTTTGAATTCAGGTATGTCTGCCTCCAGCTCCTATGCCCTTTGAACAGATGCTAACAGAGGTGTGATGCATTTCCACTTCAACCCATTTGTTTTGAGACAAAGAGAAGGATAAAACCTGATAGGTGATCTGGAGACAACAGATGCTGGAGAGGATGTGGAGAAATAGGAACACTTTTACACTGTTGGTGGGAGTGTAAATTAGTTCAACCATTGTGAAAGACAGTGTGGCGATTCCTCAAGGACCTAGAAATAGAAATTCCATTTGACCCAGCAATCCCATTACTGGGTATATATCCAAAGGACTATAAATCGTTCTACTATAAGGACATAAGCCCACGAATGTTCATTGCAGCACAGTTTACAATAGCAAAGACCTGGAATCAACCAAAATGCCCATTGATGATAGACTGGGCAGGGAAAATGTGGCACATATACACCATGGAATATTATGCAGCCATCAAAAACGATGAGTTCGTGTCCTTCGTAGGGACATGGATGAACCTGGAAACCATCCTTCTCAGCAAACTGACACAAGAGCAGAAAATCAAACACCTCATGTTCTCACTCATAGGTGGGCATTGAACAATGGGAACACAGGGACACAGGGAGGGGAGTACAACACACTGGGATCTGTTGGGGGGAAATAGGGAAGGGACAGTGGGGAGTTGGGGAGAGAAAGCATGGAGAGAAATGTGTGTACCTATGCAACAATCTTGCATGTTCTTCACATGTACCCCAAAACCTAAAATGGATTTTAAAAAAATAATTAATTAATTTAAAAAACCTGATAGGGTGTTCCAGAACAGTTTGCATTTGATATTTTATTCATCCACTCATTCATTCATCCATTCATTTATTCCTTGCTTACTAAGTACCTTAAGAATCTGAACACCAAAGCTAGGCAGCCCGGGTTTGAATCCTGAGTCTAACACTCACTTGCTAAGAAGTTGACTTACCCGCTCTGTGCCTCAGTTTCCTCATTAGCGTAAAAAGAATAATAGTATCTACCTTGTGGGCTGTTGTGAGATTTAAATTAATATGTAAAAGCACTTACATGTAGAGCTATATAATTGCTACTTGTGCTTCTGCTGCTGCTACTGAGCTGTATTTTGGTGATTGGTGTTTAATGGAAAGAATCAGCAGTCTTGGATTCTGCTTTAGCTTTGCCACCAATGAGCCACATGATTATGGACAAGTTATCTTTAAAGTTCCTCCACCTCCGATTTTCTTTTTTGTTTTATTATTAATATTATTTTTAATTTTTTGGAGACAGGGTTTGGCTCTGTCACCCAGGCTGGAATGCAGTGGCATAATCACAGCTCACTCAGTCTCAAATGCTTGAGCTCAAGTGATACTCCCACCTCAGCCTCCCAAGTAGCTAGGACTGCAGGTATGCACCACTATGCTCAGCTAATCTTTGTTTTAACTTCTTTTAGAGACAGGGTCTCCCTGCATTGCCCAGGCTGGAGTGCAGTGGTGCAGTCATAGCTCACTGCAGCCTCAATCTCCTGGCCTCCAGTGATCCTCCTACATCTGCCTCCTGAGTAGCTGGGAACAACAGTATCCACCACTACGTTCAGCTATTTTTTTTAAACACCTTTTTTTTTTAGAGACAAGGTACCACTATGTTGCCCAGCTTCAACCTCCTGGCTTCAAGTGATCCTCCTGCCTCAGCCTCCTGAGTAGCTGAGATTACAGGCACTATGCCTGTCCCATTTCCATGTTTTAAGATTTAGAAGGGTCTGTTTTCTCTCCTCTCCTCATTACAAATATGGGAACTGATCTTAAAAGTAGAGTTTTGTTGTTGTTGTTGAGATGGAGTCTCGCTCTGTCACCCAGGCTGGAGTGCAGTGGCGTGATCTTAGCTCACTGCAACCTCTGCCTCCTGGGTTCAAGTGAGTCTCCTGCCTTCAAGAGTCTCACTCTGTTGCTCAGGTTAGAGTGGAGTGGCATGACCTTGGCTCACTGCAACCTTCGCCTCCAGGGTTCAAGCAATTCTCCTGCCTCAGCTTCCAGAGTAGCTGGAATTATAGGCACACACCACCACGCTTGGCTAATTTTTGTATTTTTAGTAGAGATGGGGCTTCACCATGTTGGCCAGGCTGGTCTTGAACTCCTGACCTCAAGTATACCCACCTCGGCCTCCCAAAGTGCTGGGATTACAGGCGTGAGCACCTGGCCACTAAAAGCAGAGTCTTTATAAGCGAGCAGCTCATATAAAAAATATCCTATTTTATTCCATTAGACAGGAAAAGTGAGGCTAATGCATTTCCTATCTTGTGTTTCTCTAAGTGTGATCCTAGGCCACTCACATTAGAACCATCTGGGCTGTGTTAAAAGATTCTTGGGCCTCCACCCCGAACTACTAAATCACAGCGTCTGATAGTGGAGCCTGGATAAGTAATTATCTGTTTAATATGAATCTCAGGTGATTCTTATGGGAACTCATGTTTGAAAACCACTGGACAAGAGAGGAGAGAAAAAAACCCCAGCTTTGAGTCAGGTACACTAGCATAGGATTCTCAAAGTTGAATGTGCATATCAGTTAGTTGAGTATCTTGTTAAAATGCAGATTCAGATTCACAAGATCTGAGGTGGGGCCCAAGAGCCTGCATTTCTTTTCTTTTCTTTTTTCTTTTTTTGAGACAGAGTCCCACTCTGTTGCTCAGGCTGGAGTATAGTGGCCCAATCTCAGCTCACTGCAGCCTCTACCTCCCAGGTTCAAGAGATTCTCTTGCCTCTCATGCCTCAGCCTCTCGAGGAGCTGGGATTACAGGAGTGCACCACTACACCCACCTAATTTTTTTTATTTTTTATTTTTAGTAGAGATGGGATTTTACCATGTTGGCCAGGCTGGCCTCGAACTCCTGACCTCAAGTGATCCACCTGCCTCAGCCTCCTAAAGTGCTGAGATTACAGTTGTGAACCACTGTGCCCAGCCCAAGAGTCTACATTTCTAACAACCTTCCAGGGGATACCAAACCTGTGGGTCCACAGACCACATTTAGAGTAGCAAGACTTTGGAGCCCCACTCATGAGTTGCAAATCCTTGGAAAAAGTATTTAACTTTTCTTATATCCAGTTTATTTATCTATGAAGAGGGATATATGGACTGCATATATCATAGAATTGTTAGTTAGATTAAACCAAATAATGTATATGAAGCTGCCTGTCCTAGCACCAAGCGTATGGGAAGCTATAAAAGGTCCTCTGGATAAATATCACTGTAATAAAAATATTGACTTAGACTCTCATGGGGTGTGATGCTGGGAATGTGCATTTTTAACTGAAACCTGGAGGTGACTCTAATACACAAGGAAGTCGATAACCCTGCACTCTGTCCCTGCCAAGGACAGGAAAAATCCCCAACCTGATTTGAGTTCCCTAAATCCCACTGGCATCTGGTTAGAAAATGTTCGATTCAGGAAGCAATGTGGTGGTACCTTCAATAAAGCTGCAGCTCCCCAAACGGCACAGGTAATGAGAGCTTTGTGAGGCACCTTTCACTACTTTCAAGCAGAGGTCCATGGGAAGGTGCCTATTCCCAAGAGTGTCAGAGATGAACCCAAATCATCAAATACATGAGCATGAAAACCTAATCCTACTATGAAGCACGTGCAGTAGGAGATAAACACGAGAGGCACCTGGAACAGAATGCTGAGTCATAGGCTCTTGATGGAAGGAAGTTCCTATGGGAGAGAAAACCATTTATAAAACAAACCATTTCCCTTTCCCTCTGGCTATAAACTGACCTGGGTTTAGATTCTGAGGCTTTCATTTATTACTTTTGGGAAATGCAATTCAACAAATTGTTGAGCATCTATCGTGCCAGGCATTGCACACATTAGGTACAGGGACTCAAGAATACCAGGACTGTGTATATTCCTGGTGTGGTGGCAACAGGTGATAAGTACCTGTACTAATGAATGAATGAAACCATTTTAGATTCCGATGAAGGATAGGAAGGGAGTAAGCAAAGATACACAATAGAAAGGCAGAGTGAGATTGTATTTGGAGAGGATCCAGGAAAACTTCTCTAAAGAGATGATAATGTAGCTAAGGCTTCAGCATGAGCATGAATTGGCTCTTCAAAGATGGAATTCTGGAAGACCATGCCAGGAGGAAGGAACAACACGTGTGAGGACTCTGAAGAGGTAAAGGGCTCTTGGTTTGTTGGAGTAACTGAAGGAAAACTAACATGGCTGGGGATTGTGTGTTGGCAGATGATGGAGGGAAGGGGTGATGGCCTCAAATGAGATTGAAGAGATGACAGATAATGATGGGTAACACTTCTTAAGGACTTTTGTGTGCCAGGGTCTGTTCTAAGTGCCTTTCTTGTAATACCTCTTCTAATGCTCTAGAGGAAGGACAGGAAAAATCCCCAGCCTGATTCAAGTTGTCATATCTACAACTCTAATTACATCCATTTTACAGATGATGAAACTGAAGCTCAGAATAGTTAAGCACAGTCAAAGTCAGGTAAGACCTAGCCTGCTAGGAGTTACAATGCAATGTCTGTTCCCTGCAAAGTGAGATCAGAAAAGTTAATTTGGGGACCCTTGCCCCAATGCCTTGCTTTTTCTACTTCCCTCTCCTTATGCTTTTGGTGCTGTTACCTTCCCACCCACCATCCTCACCCCCAAGCTCCCACCCTTGTCAGTCCTACAGAATATTAGAAAGAAGCTGAAAGGCTGAAAACCATAGAGGTAGGTATTCTTTTCATCACTATGCATAGTGTTTAGGGCACTATGAACAGTGTTTATACACTATGTTTACCAAAACAACATTTAAGTTTTGCTAAACATTTTTCTCTTTATTTAAAATGACATTTAATAAAGATTGATTCAAGGCAGCGTGGCACAGTGGTTAAAGATAAGAAGTCAGGTTGAGCAGGTTTGAATGTCAGTTTTGCTGTTCATATGTGTCCTTTAGCCTAAGGAGCTGTCAGGTATTGGATACATTATTAAAGTCATAAAAATGGGCCAGGAGAGACATACTACACCAAAAAATGTTCTTCTGTTGTGAGATTCTCTATTCCAGAAATGTTAAAATGTGAGGGGGACTAAGCATCACGTTTTAAAACCGAGGAACTAGCGTGTGACAGTGAGATGATTCCTCTAAACCTCAGGCTTCTTATCTGTAAAGTGGATGCAGTCACACTCACCTTGCTGGGTTATTGTGAGCTGTTCTAGATCAGTGAACACAGGCGGATCAAGTACGTGCTTCAGGTCCTGGCAAGAAAGAGAAGGAAAATGTGAAAAGTTCAGCTTGGATGCATGAGTTCTGAATTTTGTAATGACACATCAGGAAAAAAGCTATTTTTCAAAATGCATGAGGATTTTAATTATTTAACTTAGCATGTATAGCATTTCTTATGTTGAATATGGTTGAGGGGTAGGGTGAAATCTTTTCTGTGCCCATGTCTACTAGAAGGCTTATCTCAGCCTTTTTGGGAAGAATAAATGAAATAATGCATGATGAATATTTAACACCGTGCCCAGTATATATCAAGGGCTGTGCAAATATAATTTTCATCATTATTACTCCAGGTTGGGTCTTGAGTTCTCTGCTGGGGAGAAAGGAAGAGCCACGAGTAGGTGACAATCTAATTTGTCACCCAAACTGGGACAGTTTTGAGAATGCAAGAAAGTGTTACTATTAATTAAACAACAATGATGGGCACTAACTGGGACTGTCATGGGCAAGCCAGGGTGTGTAGTTTCTGTAGCCAGAAAGTACAGAAATTGACTAGCTAATGACGCATTATTAACAAACCCCACTGACCCTCCCCTCATTTCCTGGGGTTCAAAGTCTCTCTGAGGCATGGACAATAATCTACCCATCTGAGGTTTCTCTACTGAAGTTAAACCTTCACATAACAAAAGATCTTGCCTTGCCCATTTTATTATAATACAATTTTTTTTTCAAAAAATTTCCGCAGCCATGAGGATATTGTTCTCTGATGTAACAGTGAAACTCTTCTCCCATCTAGGGAAAAAATACTTACATTCTAAATTATAATGTCACAAGGAGAAAAAGCCAATTAAGTTCAGACTCCACTAACCTGGGATTTGTATTAACTTGGACAGAGCCTGGAACTGATACTCCTTTTTGCATTAGCTATTAGTAAAATACATTTTTAAAAAGGCACTTTTTTCCCCAATGCGCATTGAAAAGAAGGCTAGATACAGTGTCTAGAAGGTGTTAAAACTACATGGTAATAATACTGTTAGAGTGCTTACTATGTCACAAGCTAGGCTTTTTATGTGTAGTAATGGATCTAATTCTCTGGACAGCCCTGTGAAGTTGGCACAAGCGCAGGAAGGTGAGGCCCGGAAAGACTTGCTTCATTTTGCACAATTATTAAGAAAACTATGGATTAAAACACAACCTACTATTCTCTACTATATATCACGAAAAAGAAACTATTTTACTTACAGATAATTGACACGAGAGGTATCAGACTTATCCAGGGGGTGCAGAAGAAATAAAACATTGTGTAGCTCAAATTTTACCTTTACTACGAAGCCCAGAGAACCTTGGACATTTAGCTTATGTTCTCATGCTAAATTTCTCAGTTTTGCCTTCCCCCTTGACTTTGAGCGTCATATAGTTTTATGCACATTTGCCACACTTGGCATTTCACACATTGCCCGGCACTCATGTCAGTGCTCACTCATTTGGTTAAGTTCGTTGTGGGCTGTCTCTGTGGCAGGTGCTATGCTAGATGCCAGTGAAAAGCAATGAAGAAGAATCACATGGTTCTTGCCCTTACTGAGCTCATCAACTCATACCCCTAATGCATCATTGTTCAATGAATAGTCAGAAGAGCAAACTGAGCCATCAAGTTGGAGGAGCTTAAGTTCCCTCTAACTTGCCTCAGAGTCTCTGGCAGGACACAACCTTTAGGTTGGGATGAGAGTGAAAGCAGGGCTCTTGACAAGACAGGTAGAAATAATACACTTCTCACCCCCCACGATGTGTGAAGGATGACCTGAAGGAAGGTGTAAGATACTTCTTTATGCATGGAGCTGAGAGACTGGGTCAAGGAAGACCTAAATGAAAAAAGGACACTTGAGTTGATTCTTGAACTACAAGAATAGGCAAGTCATGCAAAGAGCTGGGGAAGAGGGAAAGATTCTGAAGGACTGTCATGAGCAAGGAATAGAAAGGAGACCAGTTTTAGGGACCAAGTGCAGTGGCTCATGCCTGTAATCCCAGCACTTGGGAAGGCTGAGGTGGGTGGATCACAAGGTCAGGAGTTTGAGACCAGCCTGGCCAACATGGTGAAACCTCGTCTCTACTAAAAATACGAAAAACTTAGCTGGGCATGGTTGTCAGTACCTGCAATCCCAGCTACTCTTGAGGCCGAGGCAGGAGAATCACTTGAACCCCAGAGGCAGAGGTTGTAGTAAGCCAAGATTGTGCCACTGCACTACAGCCTGGGAAATAGTGCAAGACTCCATCTCAAAAAACAAAAGAAAAAAAAAAAGAAAAAGAAAAAAGAAAGGAGACCAGTTTTGGAATAAAGCAAACTGCAAGATGAGGGCAGAGAGGTAGGCGGGGGCTAGATCCTATCTTCCAGGCCATGGAAAACTGTGATCCTTGCTCTACACTTTGAGAATGAGAAATATTGACCAGTGGCTCTGCCCCAACCGAAGACATGGGCTCCCAGGAATTTTACCTTCTCACCTTTCCACCCTTCCTGGCATTAGCTGTTCTCAGAGTCGCTGCCATGCATCCATCTTCCATGCAGCCATCTTCCATGCAGCCATCTTTCTCTGTCACTCACATTACCTAAGGTCTAAGAGCAAGTGTTTGGTGAGGAGCTGTGACAGTCAACCCAGTCACCTCATAAAGGTTATGACTCACTAAGTGAGTGGCATAACACTCCTTTTGAAGCCCTGGTGTCCTGAGGAAGAGAGATAGCTCTTTCCTCTGCTCTCATTAAGGACTTAAGCCTTCTTTATATTGAAGAGCTTCCATAAACAAAATTAGAGATTACTGGATATTCCCACAAAATTGTTTGTGTAACTGAAAAGTGTCTGTATAAAGGAGAGCTCTTGGTGTTGGCGATTGGCATAAAAAAATGATCCCCCTCTGAGGCCCAGGCAGGCCAGAGGGCCAGGGCAGATTCCCAAGTAGCATGGGATTATACTTCCTGGTTAAACTTCATTCTAGGAGATGAGTCTTGAACTTGTGGAAGTAAGTCTCCACCTCAAACTTCTGATCCACCGCTGAGTTTATACTGTATAGTATTGTCTCTAAGGGCAGCTCTGGGTCTCTGTTGAATTAGAAATGCATGCTTGATTTATCTATTCTACGTGGCAGCACACTATTCTTCTT